TCAAGACATTATTTTGCATTTCCTTCCATTTTTATTTTTTCGACGAATAACCATTTAAATAAACAACACATAAGTAAAAGATATTCGTAGTTACTAGAGCTTGAAAGTTTGACAAAATGTCCTATTATCAATACAACTTTAAAGCCTTCAACAATATAAATCACTTGACTGAGCTTTTGCAATTCCTTCGAACATTTTCATTTTGTTTCTTATTGTGCTTCACTTTAAACCTTTTTCTTCAATTTCTCTATTATTTTCCTTGCTTCTCCATCTCTCGACCAAGGTAAAAAAATATCTGCAAGCCTCGACATCATTTAGGCACTGCTGCGTCTGCATCTTTATCTGCAATCGGAATCCCGATATGAAAACAAGGTTGCTTGAGATCGGGCTCCAAGAGCCAGGAAGCGTTAAACATCGTTTCAGGACGGTAGGACGATACCTGCATTTGTTTCGCTTACGACGAATTGCCGACACGCTATTTTTGACCACGAAGAATCGCATACCAAGCCTGAGTTAGGCTCTCACGAGGTCAGAGCTCTCTGAAAACGATATGGCTCAGTGTTGCGGATTGCTGGAGATCAAAGAACAAAAACAATATCAGTGTTTTCGCCATTCGAATTTTCAAAACACAGTCCACATCAGCATTTCGTAGAGACCGAATAGGGAGTGAAATTTAGACGTTACATCGAAATTTAGTTGGTCACAAAATAGTTCCCCCTAGAGAAAGTGAAAAATATATTATCTCTTATGCTGTTGAGTATATGCAAAAATATCTGGTGGTTACACATGTATCATGTGTAATCAAGTGTATGTCCATGTACCATCAAGATTACAAACAAGATCAAATTTCCTTCTATGCAAGTGCTGATGTAAATTTCACGTATTTTTTTAATTAATTTCATTTACAAGAATATTTGAACTACAGACTCTTTTTTAATCCCCATTTGACTAATTTTTACTTGCCTTTTTGTACGTCCATTTCAGTAAAAATAAATGTCTTTCTGCCTGCATATTTTCGACAAAATAAATGCCTGACCTTCCGGGCACTATGACAGTTTCTGAATACAGTAGTATACATACATGTTCATAAGTAACTAACAAATAATTCATAAATAAATTTTAATTAGTAAACACCCCTTGGGGATAGTTATGTAAAGTTGTGCTCAAAGGTTTTCCTTTTACATGTACAATATTATCTCTATGTTATACGTAAAGAGAACTAACCTAGCAAATAGTTTTGCAATTACCAAATAAAGCACAAATTGTTGGCTGTACTCACAAAGAAGCAGCCTGTTCTTCAGTTGTCCTCCCTCCCTGTGCATGAGTGAGGAATTGGATCCAAGCGTCTCGAGGGAACCTTTTGAAGCTGCGCAAAATTACTTCTCCGAACTTTGTGAAAATCTGTACTTCTTTATGAAAAACCTTTCTTACTAGAATAAGCGACGTCTGGAAGGTGATGTCTTCCATAAAAGATTTATTATTATGCGCTATAATCTGATCTGATAATATTAATTGCATTCAAGCCCATGAAACATACAGTAAGAAATCTTACGGTTACGTGTCTACAAAAACACCTACCGAAAAGGGTTTATGGTACGACGATTTATGCATAAAACCCTGCATAATGTTGATCCCGATACACATAACTGAATTTTTCGATGAACGCTAAAATTTTTGTAATGTCATTTTCATCTTTTTATCATTAACTAGCTGAAGTACCCCGAATTGTCCGGATATTCTATCTATAGCTCCCATAAAAAAGTCCCCATATTCTATGATGAATTTAATAAAACACGGTAGATTCAGTTTCTTTGATTTTTAAATGATCCAGAAAATTGGGTCAGTTTGCCAGTTTCGCCGCGAAGCGTAAGCCGGGCAGACGCGCCACCCCAGATACTGCGACGTCTGCAACGACGCTGGGTGGTTTGATTGAAGTTCCGGGCACGTCAACAGCTATGGCCATGCATTATCGCGGGAAGTGGCAGTGTTCATCCCCGCTGGATCCCACGCCGACCCTCACGTCGGCTGGCGGGGGATGTCCCCTCCAGGAACACCGCCCCAGTCCGGCCTCCCGACATGCGTCATAGTACAGTATGTGATAGTATGTGAGAGTGCGTGTGAGAGTGCGTGTGAGAGTGGGCGAATGATAGGACAAAGAAGAGGGAGGGAGCAAAGAAACATCGTGCGAGGTCCGCGACCCTTTTGTTAAAGTTCTGCTCCGGTATTCGCCTGGTATTGATCGAAGAAACCACGAAAAACTACCGATCAGAGCAGCCAGCCGCTAGAATTCTCACCCAAACAGCGGCTGAATTCGACCTAGCGGCCAAGCCACAGACGAAAATCCTGCCACCCGTCGAGGCTCGAACCCTACGATTTCCAGGTAGGATGCAATGTAGTGACATCAGTTGATGCCCTGAGCCACCTTTTCCCTTGAACAACGCGTCAAAGGAAGTCGACAATGTTACACGCCAACGCTCATCACAAAGGACCGGGATCTGTCTTACACCGTGGCTAGTGGAAGCCCATGTGAATGGACAAGCTGAACGATAGATTTTCTCTCGTCTCCTGACGTAAGTCCACGCATGTAATCTAGTTTGTTGTAAGTTTCATTTTGGAAAACATTTCTTATTAATATTCGTTAAATATTTCGAGAACTGTCAATTTTAGTCATCTCATGCCAGTGTAGAAACCTTTAACAAGGTCAAATGCAGAAGATATGGAAAACATGTGCAGCTCTATTCCACTCCAGAGGACTTAAAATAAAGCGCATCCAATTGTTTTGAAGATAAATGAGGCGATGGATTGTGGAAGTTCTGTTGCATTGTTTTTGTTGCTTGCTTCGCTCACTGTGGAGTTGTTTTTATAGTTTCAGAAGATTGAGTTCACCTCCGCAGTGCAGAAAGGGAAACTATTTAAAGCTGACCCTGGATCCGTGCGGAATGCTCCGCACTTTCGAAATCAAACGTGAAAATATCGTCTCGCTGGAACCCAGCTATAAACGGGCAGCTCTTCAACTATGCGTTACTTTTTGTAGGACCCTTATTAACGGCAGAGGAAGCTCAGGACACCTCCTGATGTCACTGCGGTGCCTCTGACTAGGTGGTCGTAGGATTGGAGTGACCGACGGTGCAGTGGCAGGATTTTCGGCCCTAGCTAGTTCGAGTTCACCGTCGCCGTCTGCCGTTGCCACGTAGGGGGGGGAGATACCTGATTAAGGAAAATCCCCGCGAGCTAACGTACATCGACGCCCGATCTCGCCAGCCAGCGTGGGAAGGTTACCACCGTAAAACATGCACTACACTAACAGGAATATTCACCTCATCTGTGGACGCGCCCGAAATCATTAACTAATCGATTATTGACGCGATGTTCTAGTTTCAAGAGACGCCTGTAAATGGTGGTTCAAGAGATGAGAAGATCCTCCCTTAGACCGAATACTTCTAATAAAAAGGTTTCCCCTTCTGACTGCAAAAGTGCTGTGAGGTATGGTCGATTACCACATGATACGAGGAAAGACTGATAGATCCTCCTCAGAGAGACTTACATCGTTTCGCTTAAAAACGCGCGTTTTTTTAAAACTCCACCAAAATAAATTTCCTCATAGCTAGCAAGTAAAAGGGCCGAGCTCTCGTCTCCCCTGGCGACGCGGCCCGAATCTTAGACGAACGATAAAAAATAAATACCTGGTATCTGAAACACATTATGCGTCTACAGAACTTCACGTCCGTACCAGTGAGAGTGAATTCCAATGTCGGCCACCAAGGGTTGAAGATTCGAATCGACAAAGTCATGAATACACCCTGGGCAGGAGTGTACAATGCTTTAGCACTCTCAGCCATATATTCCAAATTGCCATCAGGGCTTTAAAAAACTTGCTGATATGTTTCATTTAAGCTGGCTTTATACTTGCAAGAAAATGGCGAGCAATATTATTTCGCAAGAAAAGTTACCAATGTAAACTTTGCGGCAATAAATATTTCTGATGTTGGAAATATTTCTTGCTAGATATTCCGGTCGTAATTTAAACTCTTGTGTTTCCATCCTCGGAAAGATATTACCGGCTGTTGTTGGGACTAGAATTGGATTGAAGTATGAACTAGATATTACGGGAAGAAGCCAATGTTGACCACGGTCACAAGCGCAGGACGTACGTTGGGTAGTACATAGACGTAATATTTCCACTTTAAAATTCATTTTTTCATATAATGGGTGTGTGAAAAAGGTTTACGATAAAAAAGTTTCGTAATAAATATTCTCTCTATGGTTGATTATCAAAGGTTCAAATTTTCGTTCAGCTATTAATGCCCCCTAATTATAAATTTTTTACGTTAAAATTATTAAGATATGAATCTAATCTAAATCAATTTGAAGATTACTCTATAATACATCAGTAGTGGGAAATTGATATTTTACAACTTTTTACAGAATTAGTATTTGCACCTTTTATTAAAAGAAAATTACTTTCCTCCCACGGGAATCGAAATCCACGAAATCATTTTGTTTTACGAAAAATATTTAGACGCTTCTAATTCGCATAAGTTTCGTTTTCCTTTCTTCTCAAAATTCAGTCACAGGTCCTCACAAACATTCGGCGTTACTTCATCTCATTTAGCACGATACATGCGACCGCAACTCGCATTTTCTGCCTTCCACTAGTTATGTCGGGAAGTGAAGAATAACCTCACTTAATTTCATGCGCCATTTTTCTCGCATCGTCACCAAACACAGCAAGTAGTCCCAATGTAAAGCGATCGGCAATATCTTGCCCCTCCTTGCTCTTGCTAGTGTAAAAATGACCGCAAGAAGCAGAAACAAATTGCTAAAAGATATTGCGGAAACGTATTGCTAATGTAAGACCGGCATTAGGATGTGCCCGGCTATTGAAAAGAGAAAATTTGCAAATAAATGTTTGTGATTATAAAATGTTTAAAAAAATGAAATTGACAGTGTTGCTCCTTATTGACGCATGCAATGACTCACTCGCGGGTTGCAGGACGTACCGCAGGTGGACTGCCGGGCGGAGGTGGGCAGCCCGACGCCCAAGTGGCGGCGGCCCAGCCTGGAAGAGCAGCTCATCCTGGAGGAGCCGCCCAAGGACGGGCGGCCGGCCATCCGCCTGACGCGCTGCCCGGACGCCAAGGGCAGCCCGCCGGCGCCGCAGCAAGCCTCGCTGCACGTGGCCAGCCGCTACGCGCCCCTCGAGCCCATCAAGCGCCGCGACCCCAAGCAGCTGTGAGAGCAGCGCGCCGACCGACCGACCGACCGACCGCCCACGTCCACCACTACTCGTACCTTTTGCCAAAACGTTTGTCCACTCGTAGAACGACGGGGATGGGCAGCGCGCGTAGGGAGCCAGAAGCTCGCTCCGGCGGCCACCTCGCCGCGTCCGCGTCCACGATCGGTCACGATGACTGGCTTCGCGGGAAGCACGTTTCTGCAGGGGAAGTCGCCGACCACACCACAGAGTACACAGTTTTCGATAGTCGACATGTCTGCTAATGGGATGCGGTTACAAAGGAAACGTGAAAGAAAGTACGCCGGTTTACGAAACGAGTGAATCCGACCAATGAGACAAAGTATAGAGCGTGGCAATACAGAGCAGAAAAAACTGTACATACATCCAACTGTAAATATAATTTACAAATATCCAAGATGTAACCTAGAACGCATTCGCGGCAAGGAATATAACTTTATCGTCCTTACCCAAAGTACGTGACTTCACTAGGAAATTTTAATTACAACTCGACATCAATTTCGCTTGCATTTGGTAACTGAAATGTGCAATTTCCCTTAGTGATAATAAGAATTTGAACTGCAGAAACGTGACATTAGAGAAGTGCTCGCGAATTTATGGTGTTCGATAGTCACCATACTAATTGCCCATCCCTGAATTAGGTCCTCCTAAATGTACGATCCCGTTCGAAACGTAATATAATATAATTCAATGCTTCTGTCGGTATACATATATTTTTTGAAACCTTTCTGTACAAGTATAGTAATACATATAATCACAATCCCTGGTATTGGTCTCTTCAAAATCTATGTTAAATTTATGAGAAATTCTATAACAAGAGGCCTTAAATCATTCCTACACAGGTTGCATAGAATTCAAAATCAAGGGGCAATTTTTGTACTTTATTTTGCTGCCATGCTGCAAAAATCCTTTCTTAATAGTTATTAAGGCAATCACAAAAAAATGCATATTTTACCTTCTCACAACTGTCTGGCTAAACTTAGGAATGTAATTAGAAAGAAACTTAGAATTTATTGAGGTGTAATTTTATGCAACAGATGGTTTAAAAACTGATGAAAATTAGTTTTGCATTCTTGAATTTTGACATTGATTAAAATTTTTAAATAATGAATTGATTTTTAACATTTATTATAATATTTTAAATTGTGAAAATATTTCACAGCTATGAATTATTCATCCATTGTATAAAAGTACCTAGTACACAAAGTCATTAGTTTTTTAGAACATACATTTCAAATGTTAAGATTATAAATAGATGCATTTTTGTGGCATTCCTGGAAAATATTTCATTTTTACAATAAATTGTCAGCAGGCAACATCCTCACATCCTATTGTTTATAAATCAATGTATTGTTTGGAGATCTTTTTAAATGAAAATGTGATAAGGATGAATTTAAAAATCTGGCCTATGTGTATTTCTCATAGAGGCAAACAAGTTTAGTGCTTCCAAAAGAAGCATGGAATATGTTACCATTTAACAATTCCAAAGTACAACAGCTGTGCTTAGAATGTTTACAGAACTTTATGTGATAACCTTAACTGTGTATGAAAATATATTATTAATAAATTAATGTTAAAATAAAATTTGTATAATGTGCAAATATTCTCAATAACACCATTATTATTTATGCTATTTACACATTTATTAGTTTTATATGGAATGTTCTTATAATTATAAGTGGCTGTGGTACATTTGCAGAAATGTGTTCCATCACAAATATATTTCAGAAAGGAATTTTGTATTTGTAACAAAAACACAAAACAATACATTTCTTACTTCAATTGACAAAAAAAAAGAACATGGAATGACTTAAAAATTTGTGGATTTTAGACAACAGTATTATCATTAACCTATTAGCAAGCACAAAGAATAGCGAATTCAGACTGAATCACATATTAAATATAAAGAGAAACAACGTAAGTCAAATATATAATTTGACCTCTTCAATGACCTCCCTTAAATTAATTCAAAATGTATGTTTTATTGAACACAACAATTAGATGTTGTTTCTCTTCAGTAATAAATTTATTTTAATTGAATATCATAAGGCCCTTAAAAACAACTTTTCATTAAGTTTTGAATTCTTCCAAGTTTTGTGCAATTGCATCTGAATGCATCCTTCAAAACTACCTTCACATAACACAATACTCATCATTCTACAAATTTCTGGATACTCAAAAACTAAACAGAATGAAAATTCAATACCCAAAAACATTAATTTTTGTTACAATTTGCATAACTAAACTTAGCATAATTAGTTGTCTCTTATATTTATAAATATGGGGAATAAATACAATACAATTATTCACATTCAATCACAACCTACAAAACTCTAACAAAGCTACTTTCAACATTTATTAAAGTATTATCTACATATTCATTCCAATAACAATTCTCAGGAGATAATTTAAAGCCTCACAAATTAATACTGGAAAATAATGTAAACTAAATAAACAAGCTTTTGAAGATAAACAAAACAACATTTTAAAATTTTCAAGGCACTGTATCACTCCATTCCTTTGCACATTATAACAATGAAAGTGGTCTATGTAGGCCAAGAAAACACACAGTAATGTAGTAAATAATACACAGTAATACAGTAATATAGTAAATAAAACACAGAGTAAATATATATAATGGCTGCAAATGTAAGCCTCCATTAAGCACTTTAAAGCAAAATTCATATCAATAAACATCTTATGAAACAAAATAATGAATCATCACAATAGAAGAAAACTTATGCTGATCTTCAACAATAACATGACTTTCTCTACAAATACTGGAAAATGATTTCTTCAAGCAGAAACAACAAGGGAGAGAGATGATCATATTTGAACACAAGTACATAAGTATCATTTGTATGTTGATTAACATACAAGTATAATTGAAACTTTCTGAAATATTTTTTTCTAAATTTTCCACATTTTCATTTCTTTAAAACAGTGTCTCTCAACCAAGAAATTATTCTCTCTACAAACCTGAGAATACCTTAAAGGCTGCATGGCACAAAACACAGATGACTTTCGGAAAACATAGAAGAAACCATTCAAAAGTAAATATTTCATTTGTTAATGCTATAACATGCATATGGTACCACTTTATAGGTGCACTGGAATGTCACGTGTTCACAATTGACTGATTCTTGTAGAGAAGTACAAACGTATAGATTTCACGTCAAGTGTTACCAATTAACTTCAGATTGTGTTAACTAATTCCTTTACAAAATGTCAATGAAATAAGACAAGTAATAAAATCTTTATTACTTTTCTCTGCCAGTAACATTAAACTTTTGGTATTAATTTTGAAATTACAATCACTGACCTAAAATTCTGTATCAAAATTGTAATCTGAATTCGCATAGTCATGTGTACATATTAAGACAATTTTATTAAAGCGTAGAAAAGTAACACCATTCAAAAAACACTTTCCTTATAAGGTACATAGACACATTAAAAGGGTTGAGAAACACTGGTTTAAAGTTCTGAACCTAACATAAATGAATTCCAGTTCAACAATATTGAGTACAATTGAAAATGTACTTTCTTTTATATTAGAAATTCATTAACACAGTGGAGGAATAAAGATCACATTATTACCCATAAAAACAACATTAAACAATGCCGAGCACACTAAACTAATACTTATCTATGAGGTTTTCGACTGTAAAATGTTGTACATTAAAATAAGTACTACGATATGTAAAGCTAATACAGAAAAATCTGTATAATTATCATGTCTGGTATTATCACCTACTTCACACACTTTACTCCAATTTCCCCAGGGAAACAATTTGTACAACTGCTCCGGTGAACCTGCCTTCACAAGATCCAAGCACATAAACATATTTCAGTTCAGAATTATGGGAGGAAAAAGAAAGTTAATACAGAAGGTTAGTCAGCAGTTTTGTCATCAGACGACAACAAACATGAACTATGTTGACCGAAGATTGACTTCTAGAAACAAGTTATCTCGGCTCAAATTATCAAAATGAGATATTTGAAATGGACGACTGTATAAATATATAAAGAATGAACAAACTTCCTAACAGAAAATCGTACAAATTATTTTCTATGTACAAACCAGTATCATTATCATACTTTTATCTACATTCCAATCTTATTTCATAGCACTTTTTACTTCAGTTTTTCCTTCCGTTGGCAAGCTTCAATCTAATTCAGTAAATTATGAAATAAATTTGAAATTACAAATTTGAATGTGTGCATTCTATCATGTTTCAGAGTTTTCAGTCATTGTTAAAGATTACGCAACAAATGATTTGCGATATAAAATATTTACTTGTACATGTACATTTAACAATGGAATGTGTAGTGTACCAGGAAAGTCTCTCCGCACTGGGCTGAGACAGGGTCTCCCATTAAAAATTGCATTTATGTTGGTAGTAAACAGATCACTGGGAAAGAAGTGAAGGGAACAACACTTCCAGCACCTGCTATAATTGTGATGAGTCGGTATTTAATTTTTCTTTGGTTTCATACTGCTACCAACAAAATGTTTGTTGCAAGCAAGGTGACACTGAGGAGTCTTTTCTGTTGCACTGTACTTGACATAACAATAACAGTAGGGTGACATTATCAAGCTGATGTCTTGTGTATCAATGTTCTCTTCCATATATTTGGACAAGCACACACAACCCAGAAAAATTGGAGTAAATCTTCTTCAGGTAAAGCAGGCTTAATACCATATTCAAAAACATCAAAAATATAAACAGTGCTCAAAGTTTACATACTGATCAAAATTATTTGTTTAAGTCTTTGGCAGTTACTTGTTGACACAATGAATATCCTGGCAAAGCTTTCAGAATGTTTACCATTTTTAAATTATAGAAAACCTTTAATTAGTTCAGGTACACATTTTACAGGCCTGCATGACCTGAAAATACAACCAGATCCTTGTTAAATTGCTACTTCACCTCTACATACGCTGATCATTAAGTCCATTGGAAAGAATTACAGTTCTCTCGATATGACAAAATATGTTTTTCAGAAAACACATGGCCTGAAAAATCTTACATGTTCACATAAAAACCAAAATGAGTTCAAGAAGAATACCAGTAACATTAATTTGTTTTTTCTGCATTTCTATCTCCATTTTTCAGGTAGTAATAATAATATAAAAGATTAATTTAACAATTTAACTCTATATAATTTATACAACCAGACAGGCAGTTAATACAATAAACATAAACAGTTCAATAAGCTTCAATGAACTACACATAGTTATTTCAGGACATTGCATCTCAAGGAATTTCTATTTTGTCTATTGTCATTTTAATTGCATTGTGTTCCGTATTAAATTTCTAATTCCAAATAATTTCACCAGTCAAAACTAATTATAGGTTTCAAATTATTAAGTGAAACAAGATATCAAAATTTAAGAACAACATCATGTATCAGTTAAATATTATCAACTGAAATTTTGGAAAAAAGACACGTGTGCCATCACATGCAGATATGCAGGAAGCCACATGCATATATTCATATGTGCATGCAGCTGCATACACATACACATGTAACAGCATACATGTACACAACTACACACAAGCTCACATACTCAAAACAACAATTCACAACAACTCAAAAACACCTAAAAATGTTCTAACATAGAAAAGATCTCAGCTGTAGTATACTTTATTTATGTTTGAAAACAAAAACTGCAACGTATTATATAGACATAAATTACTACTCCAATAATTTGACAAAAGTAAATTGAATTTTATTGTAACTCCACATTAACACACTAATCTAGTGTATTTCTGTAGTACATAAAAACACTATTCTAGTGTATTTACAAAATTTTAATATTGCATTTGAAAAAAATATTTAACTTATTTGTGAATAAAAAAATAAGCCATCAGATTTTGTTACACTATTTTAAAAAACATTGTAAAAGACGTACCCAGAACATTCCTCAGAAATTTCCTTTTGAATTCATCATATCTAGGGAACCAATAACTAATTTATTCAAGATTACCAAACCACTTAACATTTAACAGTTGTACAAAAGTAAACAATTTAATTTTTCTCTGCTTCAAAATAAATAACAAGTTCTATGTTCAAACTATTGAGATTTATATTTAAAGCAAACACAATAGCAACTTTTTTTAACTAGATACACAAAATTCTTGGGGCTTCGGAAACAATACCTGGTAGTTTTAATACATATAACAATTTTCCTTTTGAAAAAGATAAAATGCACACGAGAGCCTTTGATGTTCATTCATTCCATAATTTGGTTAAACTAAATTTTTAACAAAATTAGTACCTCTAACGTCATTCCCTTTTGGATACATGGATTTTTTAAAATTATAATAGTATTTCAATTTCTTTTTTTTTTAAATCTTCAATATTATATAAATATCAAACACTCAAACAATACAAGTTCAGAAAACTGTAGTACAACTTTGAAACATGATAAAGATAGAACATCAATTTACATTACCTCATCAATTTTAGGATGTAGATTTTGTACCAAATTTTAACTAACATTATTGTATATTTATATAAGCATTTCAAATCCAGAATAGATTAAAAAGTAAATGCAAGAATTTTTCTGATTTACAGTTGGATTTTCACATATAACTAATTAACAATACAGTCTGCAATGGATGGTAAAATTCAGAGCCCTAAAATATGATTTAAAAACAAATATTTTTCATCAAAGAGAGCAGTGCTGTCAATGATATGAGATTTCTGAAACACAATGAACTCTAATACATTACATAACTGAAAAAAAATCTTAAGGGCACAAATTTGAAATTATTTCATTCACTTCATATTAAAGATTTCTTACAATAATTACAAATAATCTTATAAAAAGCATTTGTATAATTAAAAAAAAATTAAAAATGAAAACAAGCGAGTTCCATTATTAACAAATCATTAAACAAAAAATACAACAAATATTACCTGGAAGCCATAGAACACTATAATCTACACTTGTTTTATAATAAAGCTTTAACATGAGGAACAATAAAATATTTCAACAAAGGAACACTTTGTATCTTCCTTCAAAAGGATGTCATAGCACTGCAGTAAATGTTATATATCAAACTTAGTATCTGAGAAAATAGTGGAAGAGAGAGGACTTCATTATTAACTTCTTTCCACAGTTTAGTCAATTCAATGGGTTTTGTTGTTGCTTTCTAAAGTAAAGCACATTCAATTATATTGAACATAATCACAATTTAAACACAACAACAATCCTTACATTTCCAATAAGGCATTTTCCAATGATGGACAGAGAGCTTAATTTCCTTAAGTGCCCAGTGACCATCTCACATTACAAAAACAAAGGAAAACTCTTTTAAAGAGTTATATAGAAAAGCTATTACAACTATGACACAACCAGCATACTGAAAGAAAAAGTTTGAATACAAAGTGGCCACTTCAAGCAGATCTATTCGGTTCCGACAAAGTCTCTTACATTCAGTTATGGAACAGTATTGAAAAATAAAAAAAATAATTGTATGAGATTACTATTACAATTTAAACTAAGACACAGAGGCACAAGATATTCAACAATTCAATTGTACCTATGAGTTGAAAAGGAGCTGAATATCTCTGGTAAAGAGTTGTCACAAGATGTTTTGACCGTTCTGCTCCCTTTTGTCTATGACATCACGGCCACCTTCACAGCTTAGAGGACTTATCAAATGTAAGAAAGCAAGAGGCAGTTTGTGGTATTTAATATCTAATATTTCTATACAAGATCAATCCAGCAAAATAAAATTTTGAGAAATTTATGTGGATTAAAAGTTGTGAATGTAAAGCTAAATATACAAGAAATTTATAGTACCTCTGCATACAGCAAGTTTACCAATTTATTTTATGAACTATGCAATGTGAAGCACTGAATGAGAAATTAATTACGTACATGAAGTTTCAGATATTGTGAGCAAAAATTCAAGGCACTGCTGAACTACTACCCTCTGGAGTGCAGAAGAGAAGGCACGCACTGTTATTTTTATTGACTGAAAAATGTTTAACACTGCTTCATAACCGCATTCATTGGACACTTTTTATACAACAGCAAAAGACATTAACATTTATCAATATAGAAATTCTACATCATATGACCTAACAGAAAAAGAGGGGTCACTGAGTAGCAACTTTGTACTTAAAAGGAAGATCTAATACAAAATTCTTAATTCTACTAGGCAACACTGAAAGCACTTGATTGATTCTGCATCAATGACTAATGCTGCATGTTATTAGAATAAATAAAAGAATTCTTGACTTGCACGATTGCCATCTTTATAAGTACTCCAACTGTAAGCACAATGCCTAGGATTTGTTTTAAAATGTCACTGTCAGAAAATATAATACTATGAATGACTAATTTTACCAATGGTATTACTATCCTGCAGTGATGAAATTCCCATTGCTAACATCATCTGCCTGAACACAGAATTCTCAATATTCATAAGATTACTAGGAGAATCAAACTCTATTACCTGTAAAAGAAAATCTGATATTGAACGAAACTACAAGTACACAAGACTCTGAAATAGCACTCGAAATTAAAGGATCTACATTAATTCCATATTGCTACAGTAGAACCTCACTAATCCGAACTTTGCAAATTCAAAATTTCGGATAATCCGAACAAAATTCGGGATGGAGAAACAATAAACAAAATAAATAAAATGCTCGTTTGTAGTGCATCAAAAGAATTATATAATTATGGTAGAACTGAACAACTAATTATTGAAACAAATTGTCAAAATGAAATATTTTTGCACTGGTAACTATGGTGTATATCACATATTTATGTAGCAGTAATTTTCACTTAGAGGAACTTGCAAAATTGGTAATCATCTTTTACCATAAGGTACTGAATCTGCTGAATGATGCAATATGACACGATCTCTACGCTACATTGCCATTTTCTCATATCACTCACTATGTTGCATTGTCTGCTAATCCTCTTGATGTATGGTACATTTTTTTTAGGTAATCCAAACAGACCACACCCACCATTAGTTCGGGTTACTGGGGTTCTACTGTATCTAATACTAAAACTTGTTTATATTAAAGACTTAAAATTTTATCAATGTAATGGAAAACCTCTCACCTTCCCTGCATCCATAACCATGACGCGATCATATGAAGAAATAGTGTTAAGACGATGAGCTATAGTCAAAACAGTACAATGACCAAAAGCATCTTGAATAGTTTGTTGAATAAGAAAATCAGTTTCAACATCAACAGATGCAGTGGCTTCATCAAGAAGCAAAATTTTATTTTTACGAAGAAGTGCTCGAGCTAGACATATTAACTGTTTTTCCCCAACAGATAAATTTTCTCCATCGGCTTCCACAAGACTCTGAAGTTGCTTTTCTTCTCTACTTATCTAATAAATTTAAGAAAATGCTAATGCATTAATTGTGATCACATGTGGACAAAATTATTCATGCAATTAATTAAATAATTAATAATATTGATTGGTTCACTAAAAAACTTGGAAAAAGACCCACCTTGTCCTTTAAATGAGCTTTCTCTAATGCTTCCCATATTTTCTCATCCGAATGTTCTCCAAAAGGATCAAGATTGTACCTCATAGTGCCCTGGAAAAGCACTGGATCCTGAGGTATAATGGCCACTGCCGATCTTAAATCGTGTAATCCGATTTTGGAAATGTCAATACTGTCTATTAATATTCTGCCTCCAGCAAGTTCAGTCAATCTCAGTAAAGTAGTAATCAATGATGATTTACCTGGAAGAACGACACATCACTTAACTCACCCACATTAATACAATATTTCTAGTGAAAAGTACTATCAGTGGTAAAAATATCCTCACCAGCACCAGTCCTTCCCACAACTCCAATTTTTTCTCCTCCTTTAACATTTGCAGTAACACCATGAAGAACAAGAGGTAAATCTGGACGGTATCTTAACTGAACATTATGTAATTGAATAGCACCTGACCAAGGCCAATTAGTTGGAGGCGCTGTGTCAGGTAGTTTCACAGGTGCTTCTTCAGGTAAATCCTAAAATGAATATAGAATAAGCCAGAATTTCAGAAGTAATAAATTACAATATGCCTTAGGTTTTAATGCAAATTATGAGATTTTATTTCAGCTGTCAAAAAATAAATTATTGATGGAAAAAAAGAACTATCAAATGAAAAAATGTACACAACAATGCCTGTAAATAATAATACAAATTATAGAAAATTTTTACTTCCAAATAATATCCTGCAATATGGGCACAAACATTTGCAACAATGTCTGAAACAATATACTCTGTATCACACAACTTACCTCAGTATATTCAAGAATCCTTTCAACAGAAGTAAAACGTGCCTGCATTTCAGATTTTAACTGCATCACAAAGGGAACAAATGTACTAACCTGGAATTTCAAAGATCACATTATTTATACTACTGATGTAGTTGTAGCACTTGAGATTTCAAGTGCTAAATTCAACATTACAGTTAAAATTGTCCTCCTTTGATCTTGTACATTAATTGAAAATTACTAACAAACTTTTGCCTTGATGTACTTAATTTTACTTCCATTTGTAATTTACATAAATGCAGTGTAACTTACTGAAGATTATTAACCTTATTACACAAAAACAAATATATACTAGAAACACATCAATTGGCATACCGCAAAAACACAGGAAAGTGCAAGTCCACAGTTGGCTGCAGAAACAGAATCTCTACACACAACCACAACTAAGCCAGTTAATGTCACCATCACAACAGCAATCATGTCCATGCGAAAAGTGAACCATCGTATAGAAGAACGAAATATAAAATCAGATGCCAAAGTGCGATTAAGTTTCCCACAAAACCTGGAAAAAACACATTTACATACATTTATAGCACAACAATAGTCACTCTAATTGGGAATTGAACACAGGTCTCCTGGGTTTCATCCAGTTCCTCTGTCACATTGGTGACAATCAAGTATTTAGAGCAAGATACAAATTACTAAAACAATTATTCTATCTGCATTAAAAAGACTATTAATTCAAATTACTCACCTTTCAAGAAATACCTTTTGCCTACCATAAGTTCTGATAACAGACAATCCTGCCATTGTAGAGGATATATGATTAATGACAGGAGATTTCAAAAGATTATCCAATTTTTTGGTTTCTCTGAGTCCAATATTTAACCAAATATCAAGAAGGACAAACAACCCTGCAAATAATGTACTCTGTGGCAACAAAAATTTTAAGACTTGATTCAAAATAATGCATAATTTCAACTTAATTTGTACAAACCTGTTGCTACTGCCATTGGAATGGAAAATATTGGAAAAATGACGCAAACTAAGACCATTTGTGTAATCACGAACATCAATCCTTGCCATACAAATTCAAAAAAAAATGGCACACGTACATCCACTGTAAAGAAAATTACAGGTACATTATAAGCTCTGCTTAAAAAAAAATTAGCAACTATGATTTCTGCAATAAGACAGCCATTTCTTCAACTCTTCTAAACTCACATTCATCCATATCTTTGGAGAAACGTTGCAATATTCTTCCCGTGGGTGTGGTGTCAAAAAATGAAATGGGACATCTCATCACTTTGCGGAACATTGTATCGTGGAGGCACGAAGAGCCTGAATAATATGGAAGAAAGCATTCAATCACAGAGGACAAAAATGATAGTGTTTTTACAAGCAAGATACCATGAACATTGTACAAGGGTCTGTAAGAAGATACTCATGATTTTCTAAATATATGCAAACTCAAAATGCAAGTTGTAATGCTGTACATTATTGACTTCTGTGATTTGGCTTGTAAGATAAAGCACAAAATACTATCTCCATTCTATTATTTATTTTTATGCCCTTCAAAAAAATATTAAAATTACAGATTCAAGAAGCTGACAAATCTTAAATTACATAATAAATTCAATGCAAGAAAGATTGTGACCATTGTTAGTGAAAAATTAAATACTGTTTTTTCAATTCTTAGATCTTTGTGGAAAACCTTGAACAAAATTCAGATTAAAAGAATGTACACCATTACTTGAAAAATACTTATATCTTACGCCATAAACATCTCTTTCTGAACAAAGAATCTTACCTAATAACAACTGTCGAGCAATTAAAATGCCTTTGAATAATCCAAGGAGCATCATTACAACAAACAGAAGGCCATAAACAAGTTGATATATCCACAAGAAGGGATTGTTATTTACTTTTCCTTTCATTTCTATTTCAGTGTAATTTTCATACTTTGAAGTATTATCACTGCGACGCTCTGCCTAAAAACAATTGCAATATTTTTTTTTTTAAATGTAAATGGCAATGTAAACATAATTCTAGTACTTTTATAAAAGTTAATGAACTATACAGTCGCTGAAAAATGTTGGCAACAAATTCATTTTTTACAATTTTACACATTGCTTTATAATCAAGGAAACTGAGTTCTCATTATATAGAAGATACATTACAGCTTTCAGAGGCATATTAAATTAAATATACAATTTCCCAATATTATTATCCAAAATTCTAAGACAATTCTTTGCAACTTGGCACTTTCAGCAAGTCTACAAAGAAGGTTTGTAAAAGTAGGGCAGAACAAATGCAGTCACACAACAGAACCCCTTTCAAAAGTTATCAAATGTTAAAGTAACTAGAATTTAATTTCCTTCTTTGGAAAAACTACTCTGAACATTTAGAGACTTGTAGAAATATTTTATCTTTAAGTGTTTTCAATAAATAGGGCATTTCAAGCACCACTTAGTACAATATCACCATCGGCAATTTTCAATATTATGCACACCTACTTCAGTATCACTTCTACAGTTGGACTGGATTGCTGCTGGCCATTTAAGTGCAGCAGACTTTGAATTAGTTGTAAAAACTTTACTTACTTTGAAAACCTACTAAATGAGAATAAATTCTCTCAATAATTTTAAGATATTTTTCATACGATTGAATTTCTTACATTCTTCATATTACATTTCTAAACTTGTTGACAGCAGAATTTAATTACCCTAAAAGTATTTGTAAAGTTCAATTTTTGGATATCATAGAGACTTTTGAAATGGGAAATTTGCTAATTTTTCTCAGATTGATTGGTGTATACTGAAGTATACATGTATGTGCAATTTGTTTCTTAGATATAATACCTCTCTTCCATCTCCTTCATCCAACCACTTTCGCAACCAAATTCCAGATGCGAGTCTTGAAAGTGTAAAAAACAATACCAAGAGCAGTAACAACAGCATAATACAAAAACCACCACAAAACTGTGCATAGCGAAGATAAGCTCTGAAACCTGTTTGTGACATGTTGTGTTCTTCCTCTGATGTCAACTTTCCTGCAGCTTCATCGCCAACTAAAAAAAAACAACTAATGTTATTCAGAACACGCTAAAAATAAGTCAAGGGGAAAAAAAAATTTCTAGGTGCTCTATATAAATTCCAAATTCTTTGAACTAACATTATAGGCAATGTTTTTCATGTTAAAGTTATCCATCTCTTCTATTTATAATATGCTAAGAAAAGATGACAGTTTAGCATGAGATTCCTTCATTGCGGATGTGTCGAATGTGGACGTTTCGATATGCAGACTGAATGTGGACATGTTGATATGCAGACTGAATGTGGAAATGTTGATATACACACGGAATGTGGTCATGTTGATATAAACATAGAATGTGGTCATGTTGATATACACACGGAGTGTGGTCATGTTGATATACACACGGAATGTGGTCATGTTGATATACACACGGAATGTGGTCATGTTGATATACACACGGAATGTAGACATGTCGATATACACACGGAATGTAGTCATGTTGATATACAGATGGAATGTAGTCACGTTGATATACAGATGGAATGTGGATATATTGATAAACTAATGGGATGTACATGTATTGATAGATGATAAATGAACGTTTATAGAGTTGGAGTTGTAAATGGACTTGTCAGTGTTTCAATATTTGAAAAAGTTGAAGTGAAGTGAACTGAGAGTTGAACGTCAGAAACAAAAGGACTTT